AAATTGCTATTGTTATTGCTATTGCTATTGCTGTTGCTGTTGCTGTTGCTGTTGCTGTTGCTATTGCTATTGTTATTGCTGGAATAATTTTGCCATTGATATTGCTGTTGCTATCGAAAATTGCTATTGCTATTGCTACTGCTATTGTTATTACAAATTCCTGTTGCTATTGCTATTGCCATTGCCATTTCCATGGCCACTGATATCGATATTGCCATTGCTATTGCTATTATTGCTATTGCTATTGCTATTATTACTATTGCTAATTATTGCTATTATTGCTATTGCTATTGCTATAGCTAATGCCATTGTCATTGTTTAGGCTATTGTTACTGTTACTACTATTCAACAGACACGGAATTTGCCAGAAAACTTCAACGAGGCCAAGTTTATCGGGTTCACCATGTACTCTACGTGTGTCATCTGGATGGGGTTTTTCCCGATTTACTTCGCGGGAGAGAACAAAGAAATCACGCTGAGCATCTCCATCTCCCTCAGTGCCGCCATAGCTTTGCTGCTGCTCTTCCTTCCCAAGGTATAGAACAATTGCTGGTTGTTGTAGTAAAAGTTCTAACGCACTTTTCGAATCGTTGAAATATAATTTTTTATATTTTTTGTTTATATATATTTTAAACGCCCCCAGCAACGTCTTCTTCGACTATTAATTAGTAATCAGGCTTCGACCCGGGCTGAGAAGGATACAGCATCCCAGGATAAAGACCGAGTTTCTCGTTAAAAAAAATTTCCACACTCGGAAATCGAACTCGGGTCTCCTGTTGTGAAAACAGGGAATTACACACCTTACTTTTTCCGTGGGTTGTGAGACAAGTTTTCTAGGGGCTAATTTGTGTTTTTCTAAAAAGTACCCCCCCCCCTCGTTCACACTCACACACACACACACACACACACACACACACACACACACACACACACACACACACACACACACACATACACAAAGAGAGAGAGAGAGCAAGCGAGCGAGAGAGAGAGAGAGAAAGAGATAAATAGATAGATAGATAGATAGATAGATAGATAGATAGATAGATAGATAGATAGATAGATAGATAGATAGATAGATAGAGAGATAGATAGGTAGATAGATAGATAGATAGATAGAGAGAGAGAGAGAGAGAGAGAAAGAGAGAGAGAGAGAGAGAGAGAGAGAGAGAGCGAGAGAGAGAGAAAGAGAGAGCGACAACAAAATCAATTTTGGTCTGAGAAGTTAACAAAAAAAAAAAAATGAATATGAATTCCTTGATGTCAACGTTTTTTCATCATTATTATCACTTTTTTTCCACCTTTATCAAAATTTTAACAAAGCAGGGAAACCCACACCTTCATGAGACCACATGCTAACTTGAAATTAAAAGACAAACATGTAAGGAATATAAGCTGAATTGAAAAAAAAAGACAGAAACAGATGGTTGAAACCGAATGTCACACAGGTTTCTGTTGGCTCCAGGCGGAGTCAGTGATGGCGTCTAATTGCCCCACCTTCATACACATGCTAGCTAGTAGTACAAGTCACCTTCATACACATGCTAGCTAGTAGTACAAGTAAAATTTCCACGAATTTCTCGAAACTGCTGGGATTTTTTAAGAGGCGTGAATTTTAAAGCTAATAGTTTCATAAAGTTATTTTAGTCACAACATCTGTTTGCGAGTTGCAATTGTATATAATTTTGTAAAGCGCCCAGAGCTTGTTATTTTTAATTAATTTGAGCGCTTTACAATCAATATACAGCTGAAAGTCAATCTGAGAGTCTCAAATATCGTCGTGTAATCATTTGTCCCCCCCCCCCCCCCACTAACTTTCAATTTACCCCCTCACCACCCCACCCCCGAACTCTCATTCTAGCCCCTCTCTTGCATCCTTGTTTTTAACAATGATTGTTACTTGGTAACCTATTGTGAAATGTTCTGTGCAGTAGCAAAAACTAACTTGGCAGCTGTGTGCTTTCATTTTTTAAAATGTAGGTGTTGTTACGACCTCCATCCCCCCCTCCCAAAAAAAAGACACAATGTATATCATTTTGATGGCAGGCTTTCGGCCCTACCTGTCAGGGGCAATCTGGGTTGACAGGGATACGACATCCCAGGAAAAGGAATCAAACTCGGGTCTCATGCGTGCTGGACTACGAGGCCAATGCCCCTGATTCAAATCCCAGACTGGACTTTCTTGAATTCGGGTCGTTTTATGGAGTTTTTTAAGGCTCTCAGCCCAACTGGCTCAGTATTGTCGGAGACAGACGTTAGAATAACTCTTGAATAACTTAACTTATTATAAACTTAATAGTGTTGAAAGGGATGTAAAACCCATACACTTACACTTACAGGTGTACATTATTGTGAGAGTTCCAGAGAAGAACACAAGAGGAACCTTCACCACGTCACGTGATGTACGATGTCACATTGGCTCCAAGTCAATGGCGTCAGGAGAAAGTATGGACATCAAGTGAGTGCTCTCTTTACCAACTAATCGCTACCTTCGAATTACAAAGTTCTATCTGACATTTTTGGCCGTTTTGAGTTACTTAAACCATGAGGTCAGAAACCCAATGTTCTGTCTGCTCTATCAAAATCGAAAGATTATTTAAAGTCGATATCAAGATGTTCAAAGAGTTGCGTTCGAAAAGGTTTGACATGTTGAGAATCTCAAAATGATCGAATATCTCCAATTTCTCAAACCTAGGTACTAAGAAGATAGAAATTCGCAATTCTAAGGTAGCGTAATGTCTCTGTCTCTTTTTGTTTTTGTTTTAATGATAAGAGTCTTACAGCACTCGCAACTACATAAGGTTATTATCATGAGCGCGCGGTACCCGAGTCAGGGACGAAGGTTGACTTGTTTGACAGGGTAATCAAAGTGAAACGGGACCAGATATGGCCTGGGGATATCGCACAAGAACCTTGCTCGAGGCGGCGACTCAGAGTTGTGAATGAAAACAAATCCGGAATTCATTATTGTATGTTCAACCGCCAAAATAATCGGGAAAGTATCTAATTAAATATCAATTCCAATTAAAATTAAATTTAACTTTAGATGTGAATACACAAACACAAAGCAAAGAAGCAGAGATGTCAGTACCAGAACTATATGTTATAGATCTACCAGGGAGTCTAACTCTTTGGTAGAAGATGACAATTATCATTTTTAAAATTTCACATTTGGCTGTTTTTTGTCCAGCGTTTCGCGGCCACGAGCCTGTGTCATAATCGAGGTCACGATCTGATTATAGGGCCGTAAAAAGTCGAGGAAAAAAAACAAGCTCTCGCACCAGTGAGAGATTATTAGGAGTTAGTTCCCCTCACATCTGTGAGGTAGACTCGACCAGTGTAATAGTTAGCTTACCTAATCAGTGCTTGAGACTGATTGTAACTGTGGCCCGAGAGGGGTGAACAGGATATATGTGGCAATGAAACAGTTAAGACTGCTATGCACATGTTCCCTTCAACTATGTTGGTAGACTCTTCCAGTCTCACATTAAGCTTACTTAATCAAAGCTTGTGACTGCTTATGGAGTGGCCCAAGAGGGGAGAACAGGCTATTTCTGTGGCAATGAAACCGTTTAGAATGTTAGGCATACTGTTCATTGTTGATTATGAACGTCTTTTTACATTTATTTTATGAAGTTTACGTTTATGGGTGAATTTGACTGCGACAATGTTTCAAAATTAGGAAGGGAAGCATGATTATTTGATTATATAGGCGCTTCGCCTCTGACCCGAGTATGTAATGTTTCCTTTAATTCACAGTAGGTTTTTTTTTCTTACTTTGCAAAGTTGAAATAGTTGAAATATCTAAAAAAATAAAAATAATGCAAGGTAAACTATTTCTGTTGGTGATTTGTTCAACAAGTGTCTGTCGTATATATTTTAGAATGTAGGTGTTTCCCCCCCCCCCCCCCCCCCATTTGACACAATTTAGATCATTTGGGAAACGGGCTTCCAGCCCATCTTGTCAAGGCCAACCCAGGCTGAGAAGGTTATAAATTTACTGCAGAAAGACCGAGATAAAAACTTCTCAACACCCGGTAATCGAACTCAGGTCTTCCGCGTGCGACAGCTACACCACACACACCGGTTCTGTCTATTAGTGAGTGCTCTGTTCACCAAGCCTTTTCTGTGTTTGTGTTTAGTCTTTATCAGCTCACAAACGGCGTAAACGGAAGATCGATATAGAGTAAACATTTGTGCCACGATATGGTGAAATCAATCGCTCGTCAACGTTTAGACCCATGGAGTTATTGGCATAATTTTAACTCACTGAGGACGTTCATTCTGGTCATTCGACAACGCTTGAAGAAGTACTGTTTTGGGGAATAACTTGTTTGTTCATACTGAGATTGCCTCTGCTCTACTGCTGGTTGTACATGATAATATGTGTTCGCTGCGTCCTCAGTAAGTTAAAGCTCGTTCGTCTGTCTAGCTGTAGATGAATAAATATTATTCATTTTTCTTGAGCAGAAGTGGAGTGGTCTGTACCAGTGAGGGTAACACGCCATGACCGCCTTCCTCTCCCTTTCCCATCCAATATTGTTCATCTTTTACATTCTCTTTACTCAAATGTCATATTATTATGTTTAAGAGCTTTTGCCTGTACTCTCTTTACCTACCTCCCCCTCTTCCCCCACCACCTTACCTTTGCCTCACTGCCCTACCCCATTGTACCCCTCTACCCCATCCCACCCCACCCTTCGCCCTCCTCCGCTGCCACCCTGACACTCTCCTCCCCGCTCCTCCCTTTCTCCCCCCCCCCAATACGCACGGCACTAAGGGAGAGCAGTACCTTGGACAGCCTGTGTGTTCAAGACAAGTCTCACAGCAAACAATGGAGGCAAAAGTCGCTGGATGAGAAAAGGCTCAGGTATTTGACACATGAACTCAGGTACTTGACACATAAACTCAGGTATGTGACACACAAACTCAGGTATGTGACACACACACACAGGTATGTGACACACAAACTCAGGTATGTGACACACAAACTCAGGTATGTGACACTCAAACTCAGGTATGTGACACACAAACTCAAGTATGGGACACAACTTTTGATATGTCCTTTCAAATAATATGTCATTTCAAAGCGCGGTCTACATAAACTGTAGTGTAGTCAGACGGGTAGTGAAAGGGAGATGATGGAGGGGTGGTGTTCAAGGGGGGGGGGTGAGGCGGAAAGGATTGAGTAGTGAGGACATGGGATGGGGTTGGAAAGACGAAAAAGGGGGGGGGGGGAATAGGTGGAATGGATGGGGGATTTGGGGGGTGTGGGGGTGGAAACAAGAAAAAGACGTAAGGGGGGGGGGGAGGAATAAACAGAAGGGTGTTGGATACCTAGATACCTGGATACCTTGAAGTGTCATCTTTGACTCAGAAGTTAACGTGTAATGACCCACCATCTTTCTCGACCGCGAGCTGCTGTTGCACACGCTTCTATATCCAGGCTAATCTATGCTCTTTATGTTGTCCATCCACGTTACTCTTGGTGTTGGATAGTGGAATTTGCGATTATATAATTTCTATTTTCTCACCAGATTCGTGATGCAGCGGGGCGGGGGCGGAGGTGGAGGCCCGGACTCGGACTACATCAACCACGGCGTTCTGCCCAAACCTCCCGGAACGTCCCTCGTCAAGCGTGGCGGTCAGGACTACAGCAACGTCAAAGACAGACGGAAAGAGAGCGCCAGGACAGAGACCGCAGCTGTCAGCGCCGTAGACAGAGACAGAGATTCGAACCTCCTACCACCTGCGCCAGTCCCGGTCACGTGCGTCCTGCCGGGCCCGCAGGGTACTCGCCACAATCTCGCCAAGGAGTTCCCCGCGGGTCGGAGACAGACCCTGCACCGGCCTGGATCGCCGGCCGAGAGAGAAAAGCACCGGATACACAACGTGAGCTTGCGTGACGTCACCGAACTAGACCGATTGTTCTACCTCGGCCCGGCCTTGCCCCCCGTACCCCCCGTGCCCTCTGTGACCCCTGTGACCTCTCTGACCTCTGTGCCTACTCCCTCAGTCGGATTCACAAAACTAGCGAGAATGTCCGGAGAGTTCGGGAGAATGGGAGAAAGTTTTGAGTTCCGCAAGTCGCTGTCTTCCAACTGCGTGTCTTGTCTGTGTGTGACCACCAGAAGTGTGGAGTGTCAGACAGGCGCAGACCTCACCCACTCCCTGGTTCCGGAACTGCGCAGGAGGAAGACGTCGCGAAACAAAAAGAAACTACAGCGCTCAGAGGCTCTGGATGCGCACTCTAGCAAGGAGCCCCAGGTCTTAGGATATTGCGGCCCCAGTAGACCAAAACGGTGTGAAGATGGCATATCTTTGTCCGAGTGTGGCGTCCACTCATTACATGAGCCCTCAGAGACATCCCGGCTCGTGGACCCCCAGTTGCACGAGAGACCCTCCTCAAATCTCAGACCGTCCACCACCCATTTCGACCAAGACTTTCTGGAACAGAATCTAGGTCAGGACAACACTAAATGCCCACACAAAAAGTTTCTCTCGTTCACAGATATTTCTTACGAGAGCCCCACCGATTTCCCCCACCACCATCACCACCACGAGTGCCAACATTGTTACCCTTACCAAACTAACCTGTTGGATTCCCGCCACAGCTCAGACTGCGCCCGCTGCTTTAACCAACGACAGAACTGTCTCTGCGGGTCTGCCTCGGCCCTCCTTCCCCGCCACGCGCACGAAAGAACATCCTTCTCTCACAGTTCAGAATTTCCAAGGGCTTCCTACGATCTTTCAGAATGGAATCTACAGGAAGGAAAGGAAGGTACGCAACTCTCTCCTGACGGGCACGCTTCCTCCTGCAGTTACGTGCACTCACAGGGCCACCGGCATGAGAGTCACGTGACAGACTTTCCGAAAACGGGAGTTTCGCCATCTTGCTGTGTTCTTAGCAGCCCCTCAGACAGTGAGCGCTGCAGTTTTCTCAACCCTCAACATCATCATCATCGCCATCATCACCTTCAGCATGAGCATGTGACGCATCCGTGTGACAGTCGCCGTACGTCCGTACTTCACGGCCACAGTCCAGCCCGCTCACCAGCGCCGGCGATCTACTTAGACCAGGAGAGCAGCAGCCCCGGCACTCTGAGCACGGCGACCTCATCATCGTCCTTCACCTTGCCACCGTTCACAAGCACAACAGATAGTGACACCAGCGAGGCAAACGCCGTGAAATCTAACAGAGAGTACCCACTGAACGCCACGTCCAAACAGAAACCTGTAGTCGTGGACTTGGCAGACGAGCAGCAACACGACCCGGAAGACGTCACGCACAGCGAGTGGACACCGCTAAGGGAGGAAACTGGACACAGTAGTCCAGAGCACAGTTATGAGCAGTTGCTCCCCTTAGACTTTTCTGACAAAGAACGTGCCGATATTCTCGAGTTACAAAAATATCTTCAGAGTCATGGCGTTAATCTTGATATCTCAAATGTACAGACTAGTGATTTATAGCTTACGATAATATCTGTAGTTAAGGGCTGG